TAATAAATACTGATTTATATTAATATGAGGGTCAATTTTATTGAAAGAACGAAAAAGCCTAAAACAGTTTGATATATTCATGTTCACTATGATAAATAATATTGATAATGAATATCGTTTATTAAAGTATTATTAAATAAATATCTATTTCTTTTCGATCTATTAAATGAAGCAAAAAAAACATATTTTGTATTAATAGGAGCTGATATAATAATGCAATTGGATGATGTTGTATCAAGTACTCTAACTGGTCCAAGAGTTGAAGAAGCAATGTGGAGGTTTGATTTTTATAAAATATTTTATTTATTTCTTCTAAACTATTTACAAAAAAAAAAAAAAAAAAACGAAAAGATCGTTAAGATGGCTTGATCGATGTATATCAGCACATTCTCGTCGCGATGAACAAAGTCTTTTTCCGATTGTTCAAGGTGGTCTTAATCAACAGTTACGAGAACAATCTGTTAAAGGTTTTATTTTAATATTTTATTTTATATTTAATAAAAAAAAAAACTTTTTTTTTGTTTCGTTTCTTTTGTTATTTTGTTTTATTATTATGTATAGAAATAATAAAACGTAATTGTCCTGGTTATGCAATAGGTGGATTAAGTGGAGGAGAAGATAAAGATGAATTTTGGCGTATGGTTACACTTTCAACAGATTATTTACCAAAAGATAAACCAAGATATTTAATGGGTGTTGGGTTTGTTTATTTATTTATTTATTATTTAAAATAAAATTCTTTTTAAAATAAAATAAAATAAAATAGTTTTGCAATTGATCTTGTTATATGTTCAGCTCTTGGTTGTGATATGTTTGATTGTGTTTTTCCAACTCGAACAGCTGTAAGTTTATTTATTTATTTATTTATTTATTTATTTATTTATTTATTTATTAAATTTGAATAAAAAAAAAAGCGTTTTGGATGTGCATTAGTTGATAATGGACAATTAAATTTAAGTAAACAAATTTATGAAAAAGATCATCGTTTAATAGATGATAAATGTATTTGTCCTATTTGTCAATATGGTTATACAAGATCATATCTTAATACAATTGTTAATAAAGAAACAACTGCATGTCATTTACTTACAATTCATAATGTTGCATATCAGGTTTTCATCTTTCTTTCTTTTATTTATTTTGTTTTTATATATTAAAATTTTAAAATTTTTCTATTAAAATTTAGATGAGATTAATGTCTCGAATTCGTCAATCGATTATTGAAGAACGTTTTCCAGATTTTATAAAAGAATTTGTTTCAAATTATTATCAAGATAAAGATATTCCACAATGGATTATTAATTCATTAAAATCAGTTAATATTCAGTTATAAAAATTGACTTTTTTTTTTCTTGTTACTTTAAATGAGATTTTCTCTGATTTAATAAATTTTTTCTTTTTCATATTCTTATATTGACAATAAAAGTTTATGTTAACATTATATTATTCAAAGAAAAGAAAAANCTTTCTTAGAGTAAATCAAGGTGCAGAGTTCAAACTTGAGTTGTATTCGGTCCCATATCCTATTGGTTTGGCAACGCGCAATATAAATCAACATTTTAAATGGTAGATTTCACAGTATAATTTTGATATTCAGACAGTCTAGGATGATTGATTTGTATGATTCACTTTTTGAAGTACACATAACTCTCGGATTTAAATCCGAAGTTTCCGCATTTATTTTTGTTTATATTGGAATACATTTGTATTTGAATTTTATTATGTATTCAGGGATGTGGCGAAGAGAAAAAATATGGGGTGGTGCAAAAGAAATTTTTTCAAAACTTCAGGGTGTATTCATGAAATTTTTGGACGTAAGAGGATGTACTTACAAAATTTTTAATAGTTGGGGTGGTGCAAAACCTCATTTTTCCATCTGATGATCGTTTTTTTAATAAAAGTACAGATTTTTGCTGGAAAATAACTAAAAGTTTCAAAAGTTCGGGTGGTGCGCACTTCCCGGCACCCCGTGGTCGCCACATCCCTGTATGTATTACCATTATCAATTATTGTTTTTTGTGTTATTTATTTACATGTTTTTATGCATATAAGACGTACAGGTTATCATTCAGTTGCATTGTCATCATAAACAATGTCTTATTTTCATTGAGAAACAGCGATGTTTTTTAGACATTAAATGTGATACGGCTGTGTCGGTCTGAGTCAAAGAAAAAACACAATTTGCTGTGTATTCAATGCAAGTAAAAAGATATTTATTTTTCGTTCCTCGACGAATGACTCCGAACGAAGCACTTATCATTTGTTGTCACAAGACCATTGTTACTCCTATAGGAGTATTTTTTTGTATGTTATAAGCGATGTCCCTTCATTGTTTGTTAACTATGCACAACGTCAAAAATGTAACAGATTGAAACTCGATTTCCACGTCAGTATTTCTCCAACAAATTGATTGTGTTTTCTCAAACATGCTCCATGAATACCTTTCTAGATAATGAACAAATATACGATCGTCTTGCTCTGTCTCAACGCTCTTTTCATCTTCGTTACAGTGCGTGGTTCAATCTGTCCCCAGGTATCTACGTTTCCTTACTGGATGATAGGCTATTTTCATACGCAATTTGCAGATGGTTCGTCAGCCAACGGGAGTTTTGGACTCTGGTATGCAAATATAACACTTTCAAATGGTAAAACTGGTAACCTAACCATGACAAAGCCTCTGAATAAAAGTGACCATTTCTTCATCTTTCATGACTGCATTCATATTCAGGGCACAGAACCTCAACAACGTTGCTCACTTGTAGTACCTAATTGTAATGGCTATACACAGTACATTCACAAAGCACCAGAACTCGTTTCGATATGCCCCGAATCAACCTCATCGCCTGGTGTCGAAGCAGAAATCATCCAAAGGATCGGCTAGATTGATATATCCACATTTTTCCAATCAAATTTCCAAGCTCGTACTTTCGAAAAACTCATTAGTTTTCATTTTTTACAAATGAATCGCAGAAATTTCTTTTAAAATCTTTGATTGCTTTAATTCTTGCAAATAAAGTATCCAACATTGTTAGCATAATTCTGCATTTAAATTCATTAGTCTGTCAGTGAGAACGATCACTGAACACGAGCATGGTCAACATTTTTCACTAACAGTATCTCTAAAGAATACTAGTTTCATAGATGTTGTTCACCTAAATATTTGTCTGTTTAAGCATATTTTGCTTATGACAATTTTTATAATAATGCTCTTAATGACCTTTTCCATACATTTAAATGAATCGTTTACTACCAGCAAGCGATTACAAATCAAAGTATTCTCGTGATCTTATCGCATACAGGAAAATATAATGTAGATAAGAAATTGTCACATTGGTGCTGATACATTAAAGAAAATGAAGGGCAATCACAACTACATAGCCAAAGGAATCAGTCACTATGTCGGATAACTGTTATCGATGCAAGAATAAAAATGAGCGTGGATGTAAGACGAATATCTCAAGAACGGTAATAGCTAGTGACTTGCAGTTTTCACTAATCAAAAACGGCTGAGTCGGCATGTATTTTTATATAATATGATACAAGGTGAAATCATTGCCTAACCAATCATTTTTGAGAATCTTTCCAAAAAACACATAATAATACTATATATCACAGTGGGCAACCAAGTGGACATTAGGTGAAAAATCGAAAGTGCACTTTTGCAAGATTCAATTAGTGCTAGATATACTTCGGACTATGGACTACTTAATGGCGTTAAAAGTTTTACTACAAAGTTCAAGTAGAGTGGAAAATGAGCTAATTCAAAATAATTAAAAATCAGCCTGAAAATAACGCCATCTATACAACACACTTTTTTTTTTTACAAAATCTACTGAAGTGACAATCAAAAACAATACATATTATAAATTTGCATAATGTCCGCTACGGATTCATAATAAAAAGGGTGTGAGTGTGGGTGTGAGTGTGGGTGTGGGTGTGGGTGTGGGGGTGGGGGTTCTAGTTCAATCTACGAGGGGTACCCACACCCACATCCACTAACACCTACCCACACCCTTTCGACAACTGATTTATGTCTGATACGACCAGGTTTCAAAACGCAGATGTTAGTTATCAGCTGAATGTCATCTGAATCGCTCGGTTACTTTCTAAAACTGTTCTAAGATGCAGCTTGTGCTATAGCTCGAATTGAAACTTTTTACCCACTTCAAATACGACTCATGACGATTTTATTTAATAATTCTCATCGAACAGATACAAGAACTATTTATCAAAATCTAAATAAAGTCATATGCTGGAGAGAAAAGTAGATCAATCTACACCAAACGATATTCGGATCAGTTAACAGGGCCTAACACACTTGGGTTCATCTTCACATTGCAACGATCACCCTGACAAAAATATGTTGGACGACCGTTATACATTGGTACTTGATATGCTGGCCCACAATCCAACATGCAACATCTTGTTTCAATCACATCTGTTACAAACGAACGAATAGTGATATATACGAAGAAATCGAAACAGTTGTTACATACTTGGATCGAGATCGTTTCGATACATCATGCATCTTGTACAGTCGTAAGCAATATTCACACATATTTGACCAGGCACATGCGTACAATTGAAGCATTCCGACAGATACTCGGTCGATTGCGTTAATAATGATGCCGGTCGCACTAAATCAGATATCATTGCTATTGGTGGCTTTCAGTGCGAGTAGAAGGTCCGACAGATTCATCGATGCTTTTCCTAGTCTCATTATCATTGATAAATTTCTCGGATTGTTGGTGTTCGCCAATCTCAGTTTTCTATTATTCTCGATGCTGTCGACTTACGTTGAAAATGAAATGATTGATGGTGTGACATATGATAGCATTCGAATGGCAATGTTTCATAAGTCAGAAATGCTAAGGCAACCTAGCTACTATGCTTAATGTGGTCGTTTTCCGGATTAAACTCATAACAACGGTAAAATGATTTCTATCAATGAACAGTAACAGTTAGCAATTTTCTTTTGTCTGAAAAAACCAATCGAGTAACGCTCATGAAAATTGAGTCGGTTTTCAAACAAGCAGCAACAGTATCTAAACGTCGGAACTGATATTTTCAGTATACTAAACTCAATACACAGATGGCCTATTCATCAGACGTGTTAGAGCTGCGTTTTTGATACATTCTAAATACAAGTCGAGTCTCATGTACTTTCACCTTCCGTGAGATCAAGAGAACCAAAGATAAGCGGCGACGATAGTCCACCACAAAACTCAGTTTATAAGCAATTTCATCTCAAACTCGTTGACAAACGACTGTAGCAAACTATTTAGTTCAACAGCATTAATGTCTATCAAGGTAAATAGATCAGATTTTTGCTTAAGATACTTCACCTGATTCAATTTGAAAAAAGCTTGTGAGTATGACAGGTACTAATTAGTATATACATCTTATTATGAATAAAAATACGGCCCATGACTTAGACGACGTAGGTTGACAATAAATAATAAATAAATTTGATATATATATATATATATATATAGTAAAACCTCTCTTGAGTGAACACCATGGGGACCATCCGAAATGTGTTCACTAAGGGAGATGTTCATTATAGGGAGGTATTGTACTGACTGACCTTGCATATGTAGAAAAAACTTTTTTCAGGCTCTTGATTAATGAATATACATTTTTTTATTATAGTTGAAGTAAGTATGTATTAATTAATCCAGCCTTTCATCTATTGTATATTTTATTCATTGTTTATTATTGAATTATTTCATTACATTTACAATTTATTTTCCATAATTTACATAAATATTTCATCGCATTTACAATTTATCTACTGTTAGCTATATAAATATTTCATCATATTTTCAACTCATTTTTTGTGAAAAAAATCTTCAATTGTTGTTTGCTTAAGTCCTTGTGATTCAATGAAGAGTTGAGTAAGTTGTGAGTCAAGCTGAGAAATAACATGATGCAGTTGTGGTTGTTCCATAGCAGCTAAAAGGTGTAGTCGTCTGACCATCTCCATGGCTTCAACAAGCTTCGGTGGTGTTTCAGCCGGTACATCGTCTTCTTCTCCGATAATGTTGATATCGTCGTTATTTTGACTGATTATTTGATTCCTAAAAGTTTCATCGATGTTAACTTGTTTGTCAAGGGGATCGTTCCCCTCATTGAAAACTGGAATTTCAGAATCCATTTCGACGAATTCGCTTGCAGAAAGACGTTCTTCACCGATTTTAACGTGAGCAAGAAGCATATCTAAAGTCTGTAATGCTGATGGTACGTCATCAGCATCACATTGTTGGTCCAATAGTGTAGAAATATCAGTCATCACATTGACCGTTGGTTGGATAATTGAACATTTAAAACCTGAAGTTTGAAATGCATTGCAAATAGTTGATTGATTGACAGCTTTCCAAGCATTATTCGTCCAATGAACTGCATCTAACACTGTAATAACAATATCTTCACAAGACTTGGCAACAGCACATCGACATATAATATGTTTTACAAGGTATTGACCTAAAAAAATAATTATCGCTTAGAAAATATAAAGAAACAGATTACTCACGATAGTAGCACTTGAAATTTTTTATAATCCCTTGATCAAGAGGTTGAAGCTTTGACGTTGTATTCACAGGAAAAAATTTCACAGTCACATTGGAATATTGTGATTCTGGATTATGACAGGACGCATGATCAATAAATAGTAAAATCTTGCGTTTTTGACTCATCATTGTTTTATTCACACTTTTGAGCCAATCGTCGAAAAGACTAGCTGTCATCCAGCTCGAACTATTTGATCGCCATTTAACAGGCAATTCAGTAACATTCAGATTTTTAAAGCAGCGCGGTTTAGCTGCCTTGCCTGCAACGAAAGTTAGTATGCAAGTTAATAAAACTGACTCAATTGCTATAGGAAACTTACCTATAACAAGTGGCTTTAGTTTGTCGGTACCGGTCATATTGGTACAAAGAAGAATTGTGAAACGTTCTTTGGATTTCTTTCCACCCTTGCATTTTTCTTTAGCAATAACAAGTGAACGATCAGGTAATGCTTTGAAGAATAATCCAGTTTCGTCAGCATTATAGATATCATTAGGATTGTATTGATCAATTATTAATGGCAATCGTATCTTCCATTCATCGACGGTTATGTTGTCCACTGATGCTGATTCTCCAGATATAACACGATAATGTATATTGTGGCGTATTCGAAATTTCTCGAGTCATCCATTACTTGCTTTAAAATCACCAGCAACCGAATCACCTAACTGTTGACGAATTTGTCGTGCACGTTCCTGAAGAAGTGGCCCTGAAATAGGGATATTCTTGCTTCGTTGTTCCACAAACCATTCATAAACCTGTTGATCAACTTGTTGACTGATTTCATCTCTTAAATTTCGCTTTTTGTTTGAATTCTCGTTGTTTTCAAACTCTTCTTTATATTCGATCTTACGCTTGATGATGTTGGACACACTTCCGATAGATATTTTGTATTTGTCTGCAAGTGTACGATATGAAATGTTGTTTTCATTCTCACGAATTAATTGTACTTTTTCAGATAAAGTCAACGTGTTACGTGTCGCCATTTCACAGCAGTGTATAAAAAATGAACTGTTCCGTCTATCGCGATTAACTAACTCGTCGTAGTCTATTCAATTTTATCTTTTTGTTCGTTTCATGCGACACATTATTTTGTTCTGTATGGACGGTCATTCATTCTTATACAATCGTTCAACATGAGCATTGTTTTCTTTTCCTCTTTCTTTCTTAATTCTGGGAAAAGTACACATTTATTAGCGGACATGTTCATTATATAGAGGTTTTCTCTAGTAATGGGACCAAAAAAAGTGTTCAATGTTCAGAGAAAGGAGATGTTCACTTTATAGAGGTTCATTTGCAGCGATATTTGCTTGGGAAAACCAAGACATGCGTTCAGATTAGAGGTGTTCATTATATAGAGGTGTTCACTAACAGAGGTTTTACTGTATGTAACACCACTTCATTTAGAACGAATGTCAACAAGTGATTTGAGGCATTCTCTCCGTTTGCACATCTGTTAAATTGAGGCTTTCATGAGAAAAAGAAGATTTAGAAAAATATAGCCTACATATAAAGTATTCAATGTCAATCAATATTTTTATTTTTCAATTGGCAGGTGTATCCGACTTCGCCTACTACAAACATTTAATTGAAAGAGACAAAGCCTATTTTCGCAACATGCCCACTTGTTTCTTTCGAATCAAAGTTTGAATCATCGATTATTCTTCTCGATGTGACTTGAGCAAACCATTTCGCAAATCACATCAGCATTCATTCATATGTATTTCAATTTCATTGAATCACTCGACATTTCTGACCATGACTTTATCATAACAAAGGTAAATCCAATAGCGTCGTCAAATGTTTGTCCGCGTTTTATTTGATCTACTAGTATATCTCAACATAGGCAAATGATATAATCCTAAATATTTCTTAAAAAAAGCACTGTCGAATTCTCCAGATAATCTGATGAAAAGACCCTCTTTCAGTTGTTTAGATCATTTTTAATGACTAAAAGTACAGCTCCGCTAAATGTTGGCAATGTTCAGCACCAAAATGAGTAGACCGTGTGGGCGTGTACGTGTGGGCGAGTGTTGGCCAGGGTCTAAATGTGATTATTCTCCCAGTCCGAACCTCATACCCACACCCACAAATATCAACATGATCAGATTTTAAGAGAAACGGTTCAACCCTAGAGAAAATATTTGATGTTTCTATTCCACATCTTTGACAGATCCGCCCAGGACCCTGTGAGCGTTCTCTATTTTTACGTGAGGAAACGATAAAATCCTGAAGAAAGCATGTAGTCACGAAATTCCAAGATCCTGACAGGATTCAATCAGGATACTTGCAGGTTTATCACTACTTTTGAACTAAGAACCGTTTAGGAAATCAATAAATTCTGAAATAAGCGTGTAGCCACGATATCTCAAGATCCTGACAGGGTTCCGAACAGGATTTAATCAAGATTCTGAACGGTTTACCGTTAGATTTAAAATCAGAAATTTGGCCAGGAAACTTTAAATCCTGAAAGAAAGGTGCAGCCACGAAATGTTCAAGAATTGCACAGGATTAAAACAAGATCTTAGAAGGAACCGACCAGGATCTCAATGATTCCTAATGAAAAAATTCTGGCTATCTCTTCGAGGATCTTAGTAGATTTCCTTCGAAATATTATCATATTTCTTGATAAGATCTTGGCAGGATTTATTAAGGTTTTCTTCAAGATGTCATCAGATAAGTTGACAGGATCTTTGCAGAATTATTTAAAGAGAACAGAAAAGAAATGAGCACATAGAGTATTGATCTCTAAACCTTCAGTTTTCATACCGATCAGCTTACCCCGCTGGATGTGTCATATTATTAGATATAGTTTCAACCTTCAATATCTTCATTTCTATCTTAAATCTTAACTTGTATTTGAATTTTTTTATCAACATAATTATTTTGAGAAAAAATTACAAAACAAAATATTTCATTTTAAATACTCATTTCAATTGAAAACATTCAACTATATCGTGTTTGATTTTAATTTGATTTAGTAAATATTTTCCAACCTTTTTTAACAAACAAATGGAGCGCACAAAAGTTTTTGTCGAAAGATTTTACTTCAGAAAAAATATAATTTATTTAAAAATTTAGTACAATCAATCAACAGATGAGAATTCCCTAATTTACTAATTTTCCTAGTATTATTCAATATAAAATAGGACACATGATTAATTTTATATCGTGAATATCACATCAATTCCAATATAGAATATACATCCTGAAAAGATTTCGAAAAAACTTTAAACAATTTGTCACAATATGTTTATTTGCTTTTCATGGATTTAAATCATGATCAGAATAAAAATCATAGTAAATTCCTATCTATTCTCAAAATTTCATCCCGGTCAGAATAAAAACGTAGTAAATCTTGAAAAATCGTCCACTTTGTAGAGACCTTATTCAATTTTGATATTGAAATCTTGTTATGATTTTTAGATGTTCAGATCTTGGACTGATCCTGGGCAAGAGGCAGATAAAATTTTGATGAAATCGTTCCATGCATTCTTCTCAGGTTCCTGAACAGGGTGAGTTATAAATCTTGGTAGAATCCTGAATACCAAATTCTGAATACACTTCAAACGCAAGCCTGCAAAGATCTTAATTGAATCCTTGTACTTTCACCTCAGGATTTTGATCATACTTGCACTACTTTTTAAGAATTCAAAACACTTGTTCTTGAACAGATCCTTATAGAATCCGGGAAAAACTTAGGAAAGATCAACATAACAAAAAGAAATCGAAATCGAGACAGGATCTTGAACAGATCTTGAGTAAAACCTGACTAAATCTTGACCGAAACCTTTCTATAATTCTTGTCAGGGTCTTGGGAAGAATCGAAAGTAAATCCTCGTAGGATCCTGAATTTTCAGTTCACAAAAAGATCTGAGCAGGAACTTGAAGATATCCTGAATCCATCTTGGGAGAAATCATTACATCCATGACACTGGAAGTATTCTTCAGAAATGAACAACGCTAAGTAGCGTGAACAGTGAATTGCAAAGGTTCTAAGAGAATCCTGATGATTTCTTGTCAAGATCGTGATTAGGATTGGTATCGTCTTGCAAGCTATGGAAATGTTCATTCTTGTACAGTTCCAGACAGGATCCTGATCGAAGCTTGAGAGAATTAGTCAGTTTATGATTATGACTGATCTTGTCATTTTCTTGCCAAGATCCTCGTCGGATGTACTTCTAAATCCTGACAGAATCCTGATATGAAGATTTGGTTTAAATCCTGGTGGAAACCTGTTAAAACCTTGCCAGAATCCTCTTTGATAATCCTGTCAGGATCCTTAGTAGGATCGAGAATGAATCCTGGTAGGATGCTGGATTTTATATTCAGAAAAAAATCGCAGTAGGATTCTAAACAAATTCTAAACAGGATCTTGCTTAACCCTAAAGAATCCTGGCAACAGGAATTGTTAGGATTTGAGACAGGATCCTGAAAGATCCTTCCAGGCTTTCTCAAGGAATGAACAGGATTGAGACTAGGGAAGCTTACTGCCGCCGACAACAAAGCAGTTGGTCATTAGATTCGACGAAACAACGAGACAACAACGAAAGAACTGGCGACAAAACTGCTTCAGGATCCAGATGTGGACGTATCCTGATGGACAGTACAGCGTCAGCTCAAATGAATGGGTTATAAAAGTACTTTGCCCTATGCAACACCAATGCTAACACAGAAACAAAAAGATGCACGCGTTCAATGGACAATCCAACACAAGAACAATGATTGGAGCCGAACGATATTCATCGATGAGACTTGCTACCAACTGCTTAGAAATACCGTTCGTCGATGGTCAAGAAATCCAAGAGCTGAAGTTAGAAGAATTCCAAAGAACAGACAAAAGATTATGGTGCGGGGTGGCTTTAGCATCAAGGGCCTGGTCGGCTATCATTCGCTCACAAGTATTATGGATGGTAATTACTACGTTCAAGTTCGTCAAGATCATCTTATCAGCAACGCCAGAAAGCAATTTGGTTGACGTTGGCGATTGCAGCAAGATAATGACCCAAAACACAAAAGTCGGGTAGCCAAGCTATTCTTAAGCCCCCCCCCGCCCCCCCCCCCCCCCCGCACCCCACCCCCCGCGCACCCCA